TGCAAAGGTCGCTGATGGCCTGGAGAAGATGTAACGGTACCTTATTAATGATACTGGCCAGTATTGTCAACGATTCATTAGGACATTTGACCTTATTCACCGGAACTGGTCACAGAGGGGCGTTTTGGTAACCCTTAAAGCTCGTTAGAGCTAATTGGGGCGGCCCGAACGGGCTTTCTGGAACACAATGTTTGACATCCCCATGTTGGTCTTGGCGTATTAGCCGTTAATTGGATTTGTACTGTTATGAAAGTTTATAAATAGAGATGTCTGCGAAGTTAACATTTGTGAAAATGTCATCTCATTTCTGGATCGTTAATTTACGTTAAGAACAGAACAATTCCAGCGATATCCATACCGTGTGACTGAGAGACAGAGATGGAAAATTATTATATTTTTTGTTTGGTTGTTGTTTAACACCACACTCGGCAATATTCCAGCTTTTTGATGGCGGTCAGTAAATGATCGAGCCTTGACCAGACAATTAATTTGAAACCATGAATCGATCTACGTAATTGGGATACGATGACATGCATAAACAAAGGCAGCGAGCCTGACCACCCGATCCCGTTTACGGCAGGCATGGGTTGCTGAAGACCAATTATAACAGGATCTTTACGGGAAGATGAAAAATTAAAAATTTACAGTTTGTATCTTAATGAGTGAATGTAATGTTACGCCGTACCCAGGCTGTAAATAATCTTGAACCAGGCAAACCAGTAGCTGATATCATGAGCAACAGTCCACGCAGTCGGGACACACCCAATAACACCGATCACGCATAACGACAACCCAATCCTCTTTATTCGGGGGGCGGTCGGGTAGCCTGTTGGTTAAAGCGTTCGCTCGTCACGTCAAAGACCAAGGTTCGATTCCCGACATGGGTACAATGTGTGAACCCCATTTCTGGTGTCCCCCGTCGTGATATTGCTGGAATATTGCTAAAAGCGGCGTAAAACCATACTCACTCACTCACTCACTCTTTATTCGGCTCTTACAATCATACGGGGATGATATGTTATCCATGAAACATCCTGTACTCATCTAACCATTGGTGGGGAGTAATGGTAGACTACTGGTCAAAGCGTTCGTTCATTCGTTCATTCGTTCGTTCGTTCGTCACGCCAAAAGGCCCGGGTCCGTTCCCACATTGGTATAGTGTGTGAAGCCTATCTCTGGCGTCCTTGGCCGTGATATTGCTGGAATATTGCAAAAAGTGGTGCAAAACCATTCACGCACTTACATTAAACTGGGTACTTTTGTGTGCGCGAATAGGTCATTGAACCTCCAAAAATACATATATTATAGATCAGACGAAATTAGTTATCAGTATTTTATGTACATTACGTTTTTGTTGCTCACGGGGTACAGGGTGAAATCTACTGGCGCTTAGATTAATTTTAAAGTTCAAATCGCCAAAAGCGTCTCTATTACGACAAGCAATGTGCAAAGGGGGCAGTTCTACCGGAATCGCAAGGGTCAATTAGGAAGCTGAACACACATAAACTTCACTGTGTAAGTATATTTGAACAACCTAGGGGGAAGAAACACGAGTGTCCGATTCATCCGACTCACTGAATAACGGTAAAAAGTGAAAGATCATGCGCATTGCATGACATAATAAGTGACCCAGTGCTAATTCAACTGTCCAGCTTGCTCATTTACCCAAATAAACTACCTTCGTCTGACAGATACTCTGAACTACAAGACATCCATGCCAACCATTGAGTTGATCTATAGCTTGAGCAGTACCAGACGCAGCAATGATTCTCAGCTTCATCGACCATTCCCAAACTTATTCTATACATCCAGCCTTATATGTATCATGCGGTAGACCCTAAGTACTTCAGTTCCCGTGAACACAAGGCCCTGGGGCTGTGTATCATCGCGTATACCGCCTCCAAGACAGCCAGACAGGTCTGCCTTGCCATCTTACAAAGAACATGTCTCCCGTGAAGGTATTAGGCCAGCCAATCTGACGTAGATCAACGAACTCACGAAGTTTTCGCATTATGCCATGTTGACTAGCTTTTCACCAGTCGCAGCTTTAATGGACATCGGTGTTGAAACCACAGCCAATTGATCTCTTCTTCTTATTGCTCTTTCAACCATATCCGATGTATTGATGTTATGTCATATGGAAAGATATACGCGCCGAAAGCAGTGTACGGCAGAATTGACTTCCACACAAGTTGTCATACCCTTGTATACCAGTCGCATACGTGTCTTTCTCCTTCATAAACATTAGAGTACATTCTACAAGTCGTGAGCGGTAATGGACTTTTGTTGGGCGCCGAACGCTCACGAGCCTGACGACTGTGCCATCATTACGAGGAAGGGGCGATTAAGAAGGCTCTCAAGTAATCGCCTTGGCGAACTCCCCTCTGCATCAAGACTCTGTTATATTAACTCCATTTGCTCTATAAATCGCAAGTATTCAATAATAACAACCTCACTGGCTGTAAATCCACCTGGTAATCTCAACGTATGATGAAACGGGACAATGGCGGCAGTCAGCGAGTACCCTCCGAGGAGCGATCGACTCAAAGGTTCGCCGACGATAGAAGAAGGATCAATAACGGACCGAGGTTTGGAGATTAGACCAGTGGCCGAATCCGCTTTGAGGATTTTGAAGGTGGTAGGGATTTGATCACCCTCTGCCCATATGTCATGTCAATACGACGAGGAAGGGATCTGGGGCATTTGGATGTCGGTGCTCGCCTGACCTGACGATTTAACTTTGGTTACTGGCGGATGGTAAGTCTACACGGTATAGACCCCGCGTAATAGGGCTTAGGTATGTGTGATTGGGTGCAGCCACAGCGGACACGATGGAAGGAGCCGGATAATGGGAACATCTGGCCAACAAGATACAGCCGAGGATGTAATAGGACTTACTGTATAATTGATCCCCAGGCTCTTCAATCATATCTCCACAATCAAGCATAACCCTTGACATGTCTTAAAGCAATATATTACTCAATCGTAATGTGGAGTAAATTACTTGGACTGCGGTGAGGCCCCAATACAAAATCTGTTTCTGAAAATCACTTTTCTCAACGGAAAGGATATGTACGTCGAATTGTAATTGTAATTATAATTTTTATCTCCATTTTCAATACTGAATGGTCCCAACTTCTTCATTTACTTAATGAACGTCAGTGTAGCGTTAAAAAACTTCACAACTTTTGCTGGTCGTAAGGGCAGGCTACACAAACAAATAATTTTTAAAATGCGCAACTGCAACCGAAAAATGCAAACAACAACATAAAACTAATATTGTTTTAAGAGTAGGTGGGGGAAGGGCCATAGTTTATGTGTTAGTCTTGCCAGAAAAAGCTATTTTAAGGTTGAATCGATATTGAATCAAATGGAGCGATGCCAGTGATGTTAGGGAAATTAGAGGTAAAAGGAAACGTAACTATTTTTAGGATTGCTTGGACACAACATCGAATTCGTCGGTGACCAAATTACTAAAAGAAAAACTTCCCCCGTAGATGTATAAGTGAGGGAGTCAAGGTCAAATTAAAAGATCTACTAACATCTTACGAATTTACACCTGATCAACCAGCCTCCGCAGATAATGTCTCATAGCATCACCGTTAAATCTACGGACAAGGATACGTACTGTTATTTTATTCGTTAGTTAGTTTGTTTGTTTGTTTGCAGACAAACGTCGCATTCTGCAGCAATATGACGGCGGTCTGTAAATAATCGAATCTGGACTAGACAATCCAGTGGTTGACATCATGAGCACATATCTACGTAACTGAGATACGATGACACGCATCAACCAAGTCAACCCCATCCATTACGTCTCCTCGTGCGACAAACAATTTCGACCCGCAACCCTCACAGAGGACTGTCAAAGGAAACGTTCTATTTCTCTGCAAGTCAACAGATACATATTTCATCCTCTCGGGGACATTTGATCTTACAGAACGGCGACTTCTTGTCTCTTGGACATGGCGATATAAGTTTATAAGAGCTATTCACGTCATCTTACGTTACAACCTTTTTGTCAAATCCAACAGTGATTGGAAACACTATCTGCTAAGCGAGGCCATCGCCCACCGATATTTTCAACAAATAGTGCGTCAACAGCTGATAGTCAACAGCTGATAAGCAACAACGTCAAGGACATGGACATCAACTGTATTTAGTATTTTTAATGTTTACGCAAGTTATATATGTCCCTCGGTGACTTGGAACCGATATATTTGAAAAGATGAACGCCAGCCTCTGACTTCGAGACAAAAAAATAATAATATGCCCATATTCGTATGGAATAATAAATATTCACATTTCATTCAGTCAGTCGGTTTCCGGGTTGGAATAGGTACCCAGGAACCCATGCTGGTCGCATCGGGTGGTCAGGCTCGGTGACTTTGTTTGATGGTGTGTATTCGTGCCACGTCGGCGTTGATCTTTGCTTGCAGTACCGATCACTGGATCTTCTGGTCCAGACTCGATTATTTACAGGCCTTTGCCATAAAGCTTGAATGCTGCTGGATGCGGCAATGAAAAAAATAAAAATAGCAAGAAATGTGCACTTGGCTGTGTCATTTTGGTCTGGACGCACATTGAATTAGTATCGAGGCCATGTTCTTCCAAGCCCGACGCAGCATGGATATTTCCCCCACCTGCCACGTCAGACCCTCTGAGAAGTTCTATCACAGGGCCAAAGGAACCACGGAAGACCGAAGAAGAGACAAGGGGACAGCGTGAAAGACAGCCTCAAGTACCTAAGCATCTCACAGAGAGAACTTGAGACTTGCGCTGAGGACAGAACAAACTGGCGCTCAATGACAAGGAAGGCATGCGTCTCCTCTGAAAGTAGCCGAAGAGAGCGAATCGTGCTGGTCTGAGACCGGTTAGGCCCTGTCACTGCCCTCCTTCAGCATCCTACCAGTGCCCCTACTGCCTTCCTTCACCTACCTAACAGTGCCCCTACTGCCTTCCTTCACCTACCTACCAGTGCCCCTACTGCCTTCCTTCACCTACCTACCAGTGCCCCTACTGCATTCCTTCACCTCCCTACCAGTGTCCCTACTGCCTTCCTTCACCTCCCTACCAGTGCCCCTACTGCCCTCCTTCAGCATCCTACCAGTGTCCCCACTGCCTTCCTTCATCTCCCTACCAGTGCCCCTACTGCCCTCCTTCAGCATCCTACCAGTGCCCCTACTGCCCTCCTTCACCTCCCTACCAGTGTCCCTACTGCCTTCCTTCACCTCCCTACCAGTGCCCCTACTGCCTTCCTTCACCTCCCTACAAGTGCCCCTACTGCCTTCCTTCACCTCCCTACCAGTGCCCCTACTGCCCTCCTTCACCTCCCTACCAGTGCCCCTACTGCCTTCCTTCACCTCCCTACAAGTGCCCCTACTGCCTTCCTTCACCTCCCTACCAGTGCCCCTACTGCCTTCCTTCACCTCCCTACCAGTGCCCCCACTGCCTTCCTTCACCTCCCTACCAGTGCCCCCACTGCCTTCCTTCATCTCCCTACCAGTGTCCCTACTGCCCTCCTTCAGCAACCTACCAGTGCCGCCACTGCCTTCCTTCACCTCCCTACCAGTGCCCCTACTGCCTTCCTTCACCTCCCTACCAGTGTCCCTACTGCCTTCCTTCACCTACCTACCAGTGCCCCTACTGCCTTCCTTCACCTACCTACCAGTGCCCCTACTGCCTTCCTTCACCTCCCTACCAGTGTCCCTACTGCCTTCCTTCACCTCCCTACCAGTGTCCCTACTGCCTTCCTTCACCTCCCTACCAGTGCCCCTACTGCCTTCCTTCACCTCCCTACCAGTGCCCCTACTGCCTTCCTTCACCTCCCTACCAGTGTCCCTACTGCCTTCCTTCAGCATCCTACCAGTGCCCCTACTGCCTTCCTTCAGCAACCTACCAGTGTCCCTACTGCCTTCCTTCACCTCCCTACCAGTGCCCCTACTGCCTTTCTTCACCTCCCTACCAGTGTCCCTACTGCCTTCCTTCACCTCCCTACCAGTGCCCCTACTGCCCTCCTTCAGCATCCTACCAGTGCCCCTACTGCCCTCCTTCAGCATCCTACCAGTGCCCCTACTGCCCTCCTTCACCTCCCTACCAGTGTCCCTACTGCCTTCCTTCACCTCCCTACCAGTGTCCCTACTGCCTTCCTTCAGCATCCTACCAGTGTCCCTACTGCCTTCCTTCAGCAACCTACCAGTGTCCCTACTGCCTTCCTTCACCTCCCTACCAGTGCCCCTACTGCCTTCCTTCACCTCCCTACCAGTGTCCCTACTGCCTTCCTTCACCTCCCTACCAGTGCCCCTACTGCCCTCCTTCAGCATCCTACCAGTGTCCCCACTGCCTTCCTTCATCTCCCTACCAGTGCCCCTACTGCCCTCCTTCAGCATCCTACCATTGCCCCTACTGCCCTCCTTCACCTCCCTACCAGTGTCCCTACTGCCTTCCTTCACCTCCCTACCAGTGCCCCTACTGCCCTCCTTCACCTCCCTACCAGTGCCCCTACTGCCTTCCTTCACCTCCCTACCAGTGCCCCTACTGCCTTCCTTCACCTCCCTACCAGTGCCCCTACTGCCCTCCCTCAGCAACCCACAAGTGCCCCTACTGCCACCACTGCCCTCCTTCAGCATCCTACTAGTGCCCCTACTGCCTTCCTTCCCCTCCCTACCAGTGCCCCCACTGCCTTCCTTACCCTCCCTACCAGTGCCCCCACTGCCCTGCTTCAGCATCCTACCAGTGCCCCCACTCCCGTCAGGTCTGTACATCAAGGATTGAGCTGTCTAATCACGTCCTAAAAGACAGCTGACACGTCTTCCTCTTGGGGGTGATGTGCATTGCCTTCTGTGTTGGTGCGTGTCACACATCAATAAACATGTTCCAGCTTCTGAATCAACCCCACATCATACGTGACGCCACAGTTGACTGCTGCATTCTCTGGTAGCCATTGTCGCCACCTGATCCACAATAATGTCAGACATAGGAAAGTAGGAGGTCTGTCCTGCTGCCGTATTAATCGATGAGCGTCCTACAGAGCGCAGTAAGACATGCATTACTGATCACTTATCTCGGCATATCAGTCTACGGGAAACTTAATTACAAGTCTACAAAAACGCACCGGTAGATTAATTTTATCGATTTATTACTTACAGGAATATATACCAAACACGTGCTCAATATATACCAGATAACGATATCCAAAGTTAATGACATCACTTTTGAGCCTCGAGTGTGACCCGGAGTGTTTCGGAATCTATGTACAGTTGAGGGCGAAAGTGAGCTAAACATGATGACGATATTCAGATTAATGATATTAATTTTGATATTCGATTGTGACAGGGATTATTTCTGAATCATTGTACACCTGGTGCCTGACTGACTTAACTCATAAACCTTTTCCCAATTCACCATTCCCAAAGTGAGTGAGTGAGTTGGATTTAACGCCGCTTTTAACAGTATTACAGTTATATCACGGCGTGTCAGCTTAATGTGGGAGGTTAGCCCGAAGTGATGCAGGTCTCAGACGTTTACCACTCCGGTGAAACCCACGAGCACGGGTATGGTGCTGACAAACCTATAAACATAATCGGGGCGAACCGGGATTCGAACCCACAAGCATAGGTTTCTGGCGTGCCCAAGGAACGCAACTCTGCACAGCGAATCGCGGCGCCTAAGATTCTGGTGGGAGCACTGATACCGGGAGGGTAACCAAGGTGTCACGCGCCGGGAGGGAGTTTGTCTCATCGACAGCTAAGGGACACAAAGAGTTTCGTCCCCTTTGATCTCGGGGCATAATGCAGCCTCGTTTTCGTTAAATATCGAAAGTATGGCGGCGATTTAATGCCTTGTCGAATTGTCACCCAACTATGAAATCATCCGCCATGCCTGATAACCGCTGCTTCAGGAATACGTTTGAACTCGGGTGACGCCGCTATTTCAAGCTGTACTTGAAAGTCCACAGACAACGCAAGGATCACCCAAATTAAACTCGAGTTTTGACGAGTGAGGAGGCTGCTGATGGATGTCGGCTGAGAGGAGGACTGGGAGCCTGTCTATAGCGTGTGTCAGGTGTCATCTCGTGACGAGTACACCATCGATCAACGCTGGCTCGGTGGGATAGGTTCAAAGAACTTCAGTCTTTCCATCTCCCGAGGCTGTCGTAGAAAATACGCATATGTCCTTATCATTTAACCAGGAATCAGTGTTCACGTACGCTATCGCTGGTTCTAATGCTTTTGAACGCATGTGTCGGGACGTGAGGCGAGGTGAAATGGGTTTTAACGTCGTGTTCAAGGTTATTGTACGTACATGGCGACGTTCATGCACGTGTATGTGTATGTGTGTGTGTGTGTGGAGGGGGGGGGGGGGGTTGCTTGTACAAGTTAAATGCCCATCTTCTTGTGCTAGCCCACTGAGACACCATGTCGTAGTTTTAACATGAATATCCTACTCAGTCACAGTACGGTCCGAGCAGACCAGTCCTTATGCATCCCATCTTGAGAAGATAAATCAGTGATGAACTCATTTCGTCGGGAGTCGTCAAAGAAAAACACATCCAATCAGCTGGTACCCCAGTCACGACACTTGGTACAGGTGGTCCAGTGGTCCATGGGGCCGCCATCCTCTGTGAAGTGCTGCGTGCAAAAACACGCTCGTGGGTTCGAATCCCGGTTCGACCTGATTATGGTTCTTGGTGTCTCACCACCATACCCTGTTCGTCGATCTCACCGAAGCGCTGAACGTCTAAGACCTGCATCACTTCAGGCTTTCAACCCTATCAATCTGACAGGTCGTGGTTTAACAGGAATACTGTTCAAAGCGGCGTTGACCCGTGAAGATCCGGGGTAGAATAGGTCTTCAGCAACTCATGCTTGCCATACAAGGCGACTATGCTTGTCGTGGCGACTAACGGGATCGGGTGGTCAGGCTCGCTGACTTGGTTGATGCATGTCATCTTATCCCAACTGCGTGGATCAATGCTTATGATATCAATCACTGGATTGTCTGGTCCATACTCCATTATTTACAAACCGCCGTCATATAGCTGGAATATTGCGGCGTTAAACAACAAACAAACAAACAAACAAACACCAAAGTGGCGTTAACTCACTCAAGCCCCGAGGCGTATAAAGGTTCAGAAATAATCCCTGTCACCATCGAACATCTAAATTAATATCAATGATCTGAATATCGTCATCGCGTACATGTTAACCACACGTGCCTATAAGGGTCACTGAAGGTGGACGGACGGACCTCACAAGGAACGCCGAGATGAATGTCCAAAACCTGCCAAGCTGACCGGTCTAAGCTTCAGTCTTCATCTGCAATCATAACCCTCGTCTCATTTACACAGATCGGACATCCAGCTGTCTAAGCTGTCATCGACGTGAGACTGCCTTACTGACCTTAAACCGTTATTATTGAATCTCCACCAGACGAGTTTCTGATATTCCTAACAGGATTTGGAGTTCAACCATAATAGAACATGATGTCTTGATCAACATATCCGTCTGCACTGCTCAATGACCGTGCTATCATGATACCTGCTTAAAGAGTTATATATCCCAGGAGTTGACAGGAAAGGATCTTATCCAAGAATTACCATGGTATTCATCTGAAGGGACTTACTTTAGGCAAATCGATTTTTACTCTGATTTGAAAATGTGTTACTGCGTATCGACCTTTAATGTGCGAGAAATATAATGCCGAAGAGTGCGCAGTTTCTATTAGGAGCAAAGTATGTCATTCGTGTCATTTTAAAAATAGTTCAGCTATGGTCAGTTTGATGTGAGAGCAGAGTCATTATGGTGAACCCCCGAGCAGGGGTCATAACAGGAATTCGAACCCATGACCACAGGCTCCTGGCAGACCTAAGGGACGCAACTGATGCAGGTCTTAACCCACGAGCACGGATATGGGATTGAGTGAGTTGGGTTTTAACGCCGTTTTTAACATTATTCCAGCTATATCACGGCGTGTCAGCTCAATGTGGGAGGAAAGCCCGACGTGATGCAGGTCTCAGACGTTTACCACTTCGATGAAACCCCACGAGCACGGGTATGGTGCTGACAAACCTAAAAACATAATCGGGGCGAACCGGGATTCGAACCCACAATCATAGGTTTCTGGCGTGCCCAAGGGACGCAACTCTGCACTGAAGAATTAACTGCCTTTAATTGAACTGTGAACTAAACGTGCATCTCTTCACTTAACACGCCACAATCATAGGTTCTAACGTGCCCAAGGGACGCAACTCTGCACAGGAAATCGCGGCGCCTTAGACGACTGGGCCACCCGTGCTCCCGATACGGGGCTGACAAACCACTGATCATCTTCAAGGCGAATCTGGAATTCGGCCAGACGTGTCACGGCGGTGTGAACTATATCCCAGTAACCAGATCACAGTATGTAACTTGTTGGGAAGTGATGCTCTTTGAGGATGTTCATTCCTTGGTAAAACCCACACGTGGTCCGTGCTGAGATCACAATCTGCGTGTGGGATTCGAACCTACTATCAGGGGATCCTGGCACAAATAACGGATTCAGCTGTGAACGTGTCCCTGAAAGAAGTTGATACATGCCTGACTGTGGTGTTCTTATCGGTTCGGACCAAAGCAACCATGCATTAGACATACCTGCAATATAATAGGCAGTGCAGTAGCTGTGCCCTAAACTCATGCCCCCTTCGAGACCCGTGGATAACTTATACAGTAACATCGTCGACAACTACCGTCAGCATCAAGTACTCGGGACGTATCCTGCACCGGAATCCCAACATAGACATACGGAAAGCAGGATTGGTTGGTTGGTTTGCTGTTTAACGCCGGCCTCAGCAATATTCCAGCTGTATGACGGCGGTCTGTAAATAATCGAGTCCGGACCAGACAGTCCAGTGATTGATATCATGAGCATCGATCCACGCAATTGGGATCGATGACATGCATGAACCAAGTCAGCGAGTCTGACCACCCGATCCCGTTAGTCGCCTCTTACGACAAGCATAGTCGCCTTTTACGGCAAGCATGGGTTGCTGGAGACCTAATCTACCCCGGATCGTCACGGGTCGAAAGAAGGAAAATATTAAACAACTGAATTATACCACACTACGAGTTAGTTGTGTTTTTGCAACAGTCAACCAATATCACACAAGATGTCATCGTACAAGACAGAGGACACCATTCCAAAGAGGTGAACAAAACCGGGTCATCGGCGCAACCCGTCAACGCCTTAACCACAAGGCTACCTATCTAAAGGTAGGAAAAGTACTGCCTACATGAACGGCGTTGGACCTTTAACGTGATTTCATAAATCGGATCTTCTTACTTGGGCGCATAAGGTGATCCCAGTAATGACAGTATAAGACACATCACGTCTACGGCATCTGTACAAACAACCGTTATTACCTGGTATCATCGGCTTGACAAAGACGTCGCATGATGTAATCAGACACCGCCAATACAGTTATAACACACCGGTCTTCCCCAGACAGAAATATTATTTCAATAGATCGTTCACTACCTAGGTGATTCCAACGGCGTGCCCTGTGACCATATGCAAACCATGTGACTTCTGTGATCCCGATGGGACCAAATGCGCGTTTCTGACCCGAATGCGACCTCCATGCGTCTGTGACCCAATGCGACCTTCAGGCGTCCTGTGTGACCCAATGCGACCTTCAGGCGCACTATGTGATCCAACTCGACCTTCAGGCGTCCTGTGTGATCCAATGCGACCTTCAGGCGTCCTGTGTGACCCAATGCGACCTTTA